GAACTGACTTCACGACACATCACCACCACCACCTGAGAGGGAGGTCTCTATCAGTCTTCACACAGGAGACCCCAGAACAACCATACTCTATAATGATATTTTGTCAAGGAAATCCCTAGATCCTTGCTTGGCAGAGAACATGGTGCTTCCGTTCTGTCCCTTGCCAAAACCCAGCTGTTGGACATTACACATTAAGCTCTGGGCCAGCAGCACACACCAGCCAGACAGCAGGACAACCACCAACAAAGCAAGCACTATTTTATAGCACATTTTCATACTGCTTTTCTTGAGGTGAGAGACAAGTCAGTAGATGACCCGTCATGTGCACTCTACATTTTTTAGAAATGGTTTTCCCTTTAAAGAAAGACCAGAGTAAACTGATGAAATCAGACTCATAAAACCAGAAGACAGAAAAATAAATCTCAGGGGACATTATTTTGTGTAGCTTCAGCCGTTAACATTGGAAAACTTGGAGGCTTGAGTCATGAGTTCTATCCATCCTTAGGGCACATGTCCTGTGCAGCAGGATATGGGGCCTGCAGAGGGGACAACAGAGCTGAGATTTGAGGGTTCCTGGATAAAAGTAGATTTAGTAACCAACTTGGTCTTCATTCCAGTGGATGTGGAAGGGTGGTGGGTAATGCATCTGGGAAGAAAGGAGGCAGGAAAATCTAGCCTTACTTGAACAGCTGAGGCATCTGAACTGCATCCTGATGAATGGGTTGTTGTTGTTAAGTGCTGACCCACGGTGACCCAGTATAGGGTTTCCAAGGAGCAACTGGTAAGCTTGAACCACAGACCTTGCAGTTCAAAGCGACTTTGCAGTGTAACAGGAGTGCTGATATCAGGCTTCCTCTCAGTTTTTGATTGGTAAAAGTGACATTATGAACTTACTTTTATTACTAATTTTTCATTATGCTTTTATTGTGTAATACTTGTTTTTTCATTTGCTTTACTAGTTTAATATAAAATTGATTTTGCTTAATTCTATGTTTAACATTAAATAGATGAGGAGGCTTCAAAAAGTTCATGGAAAATGTAATTTTAAAAATAACTGAATTATCCCACAAACTTTTTGAAGCCCCCTCATACTTGTATTTAACAAATAGTATAAGCACTGGACTGCCAACAGAAAGGCAGCAGTTCAAATCCACCAAGCACTCTCAGAAACCCTATACAGGATCACTATGAGTCGGAACCAACTTTGTGGCAAATAACACAGCAACAATGATATACTCTTGAAAACTACACAAGTAACTATTTTTCAGGAAGCTTTCACAGTTAATATAGAAAACACACACTGCAAGGGTCTCCACCACATTCTCCAGGATTAACCAGAAGGTTGGTCACCTGCAGTTAATCCCTTTCTAGGCCAAAGGCATTTCCAGACCTGAGAGTTAATGCCCCTAGAGTGACTCCCAAAGAGTGAATAACAAACCAGTTGGTAAATAAATCCTCTAGTGCTTTCTCACCACTCGGGGGAAGGTGCTGAAGTGCATTCCACACAGCCTCTCAGAGGATCCACAACAGGACAGACAGACTGAGTTGCCCACAGAGTAACATCATCATTAATATACATTTTCCTATCTTTCCTCCCTTCCCTTTCTCAGCTCCCCACATCCACACATTGAGATCAATCCCTCCTCCCAAAATAAACACATCAATGTATCAGGGTTCACTTTTTGGGGAAGCAAAACTAAGACAGTAGACTTTCTGAATTCTTAGAGAATTCTCATAGATATGAAAGCGAGAGATTAGAGAGTCAGCAAAGAGAAAATAGTTCCAGAATTGGAACGTGTTAGCTGTCTTCTAGTTAACCCAACTGACAATAATTTTATTTACTTTCACAAGTGGGCAAGTTAGTTGGGTCTAGAATTTTTAATTCACAGGGAACATATTGCTCTAATTTTTGACATGACTCTTACAGAAAGAAATCTGTGCAAAACTAGTTTCTTTGTTTTTTGTAAGGTAAGCACTGAACTGTTAACCACAAGGTTAGTGGTTCAAATGCACCAGCTGCTCCTTGGAAATCCTATGCCTGCTATGAGTCAAAACTAACTCAACACCACTTAACAATAACAACGTTAGTTAGGTAAATTCATATCCTTGAAACATGAAAGTTCACGAAGCTGTGTGCAGACATTAAAAAACTTAAGTATTTTTTACCTGGTATTTGTTGAGCCCCCTCCAAGAAAATGGAGATGCTTCTTTCTAGTGTGAAGAATGGTTTCGACCTTCACATATTTTGTTCCAATTATTCTGGAACCATTTTCACATTGAGTCTCTGAGCAGCACAGTGGTTAAATGCTCAACTACTCGCTGAAATGTCAGCAGAAATCCACCCAGAGACACATGGCAAGGAAGGTGTGGTGATAAGCTTCTGACAGACTGCAGCCTCAAAAATCCTCTGGAGCCATTTTACTCCACACATATGGGGTCACAATGAGTTGGATTAACTAGAAGACAGTTAACACATTCCAATTCTGGAACTATTTTCTCTTTGCTGACTCTCTAATCTCCAGCTTTCATATCTATAGCCTTCACTATCATCCCTTTTTGGCCCCTTTTCTCTGAATTTTTATAGCTTTTCTAAAATATGTGAGAAAACAATGAATTCATTTTTCATAAAGGTGTACATCATCTTTTCTGAATATAACACATATTTTAATTCTACCGACGTCCCATTAAAAATTTTTTGTTATAATAGCTCTTTATCCCATCCATGGTCTTTCTATTTTCATGCCGACCTGTTGCTTTACTATCTGTTCTTGTAAGAATTTAAAAAATTAAAAAAGAATTTTAAAAATATGTTCATTTTTTTCTTGAATTTCACTGAAGGTAAAATGGATTCTTCTCTGAAACTTACTTTCGATTGCTATTAATGATTAAAAACACATGGTCCAAACACAGTTGCTAAAGGCCTTGCTGGTTCTCTAGTTCAGAGACCTTGTCAGCTGACCATGGAGAAGAGAGCTCAGAGGCGGCAGGAGTTGAAAAAGAAAACCACTGAGGCATAAGCCCAGAAAATCCAGCAATTGGAGATCAGGCAACAAGAGGAAGAGCAAAAGGTGGAAGGGCTGGCCCATGTACAGAAAGAACTAGTACACAAAGCAAATCCAATATATAAGTATCAGACTGTGGCGATTAAGTCAAGTGACCAGCTTCTGACTGCCCATCCTCACAAGTTCTCCACTTGACTGTACTGCTGAATTCAGCAGAGCTAACCAGTTCTGAATTTTCTAAAGCCAACAGAGAGAACAAAACCTAATCCAGTCCCAAGGCCAAGCAGTAAAAACATGCCAAAATTTTGGGGTCGATCGGGGGAAGGGTGTGAGAAACTTTGTTGTTGTTGTTAAGTGCTGTTGAGTCCATGCAGACGCATAGCGACCCGATATAGGGTTTCCAAGGAGTAGCTGGTGAGCTTGAACTGCCGATCAATCTCGCAATTCAAACAGCTTTACAGTATTGGTGCATTAACCCACAGTACCATACCAGGACTCCTGGTTATGTGCTGTGGAGTCGGTTCTGACTCATAGTGACCCTGTACAGGGTTACTCAGGCTGTAAATCTTTACAGGAACAGAAAGCCTCATATTTCTCCCACGGAACATCTGGCAGTTTTGAACTGCTGACCTTGCGGTTCACAGCCTGATTTGTAACCACTACGCTACCAGAGCTCCTTAGCTATTTCTGAGACAAGAGAGAAATTCTACTGTGGGTCTTGAGGGGAAACAATCTGAATAACATAATGGGCTACCATCAACCACATCTTTTCGGTTATCATAAAGACCAGTTACATAGGTGTGGTCTCTGAGTAAACTCCATTCTGTACTCCCGTACAATATGGCACATGTGATTCTTTGAGAGTGGCCATAGACATCGGAACCCTACTGATACTTGGTGTCTCCTGACCAGGCTTAATCCAGGGACAATTTTTAGGGTGCACAAGATGGACAAAAAGCATCCCCTTCCTGAAGTTCTTCCTGAACACTCTTTTGTGATCTTCTCAAGTCCCAGAACTCCTGAAAGCTAGTAAGCAGTAGGTGACTTCTTGGCAAGTTCTTGGAGAGACCACATTCTGAGTAGTACAATATGGTTCAGTCTATTAAACCTGGCAAAAAAGGTACAATCCAGCCCAAACTGTGCAGCCTGGCAGGATGTGCACCTCAACAAAAAGTTACCCTCCTGCTAGAAGGTATGCCAAGGGCTCCTCTGTGATCAGGACAAAGATTTTTCACAGAAAATGATTTGGGGTCTATCATAAGGCACCATAGTGAAGTGCTGTAAATGCTTGGAGAACCTGTACAAATTTTCTATCAGAACAACTGTTAGTAGTCCGAGCAACAACCAGGTGCAACACACTCTACCTGAGTCCACTCATTCCTCCTAGTTGTTTGATGAGGGAGCCTTTTCCTCTTCCTTCCCAAAGGTGGTACACTGAGAGAGACTGTCAGAGTGGGAGATCAGAAAATGACCCGCTCCTTTTGCTTTCAGAGCCATGCGATCTAACCTTCATCTCATTCAAAGAAATGAACATATTCTAAAACGTATCATTCAATTAATGTAAATCATAATCCATCAATTCACACAAATACGTCATAAATAAGTATGCTGAAGCACATGACCTTCTAACAGATATCAAGCAGATCACTGATGACAGCAACCATGAGAAGCAGCCTTTATTTTTTACCTTATTTTCACAGCAACAACTACTGACCTAAAACTGGCATAGTGTACGTGTGCTGTGAGAAGGGGCCACACAGACAACTGTAGGAAGAGAATCCAACAAGACAGAAGGACTGGGAGACAAATGGAAGATACAGACAATGGTTGGTATTTGTGCTGTAAGAACACATTATCTGAGTCCAAGAGGGAAAACTAGTAATTCCAAATAGTGCTCCATATCAAGGAATAGTCTTTGCAGACTCACTGCACATTTTAATTTCCAATAAAAGTCTGGTCTCTTTAAATAGCACGTATACTAGACCATTTCCTCCTTACCTTCTGCCACATGTTGATGAAGAAGAGCTCCCGAGAAACATTGAAGGAAATATTAGCATCATAGGCATCATCCCCGAGGTTGGAGATAGAGATGTTTAAGGAGATATTCTTCACAGCTCCCAAAGCCAGGTAGGGGGTTTTTTCATCAGTGCTACAATAACAAATAAACAGTAATCAATGCCATGAAGTTTAACACTAATAATATTATGTGGCATCAAGGCACACTTGCAGGTAGACTGCAGAAACTTCAAAGGGATCAGAAACTACAAGCCCCAGGATCCCCATTAACCAGCTCCATATTTTTGAGCAAACAGTTAACTTTCATGGAGTGTCAAAGTTCCCTTGTGATAGCTTCTGGTTTTGTAATTGAATAGGAGCAGAGTTAAACATTTGGAGGGAGAAGAAAAGGGGTGAATGTTTGAGGGGCAAGGAGATGGAGTGAGAAGGTATCTGAGGAGAGTGGAGAAGTGACTGGGTCAGGGATGGTGGTGATGATGAGAGTGACAAAGCTGCACATGAGCTTGGTGGTAATTACTATGTGAAGCAAGCTCTGGATAAAAGGAATTGACATCTGAGATAGTTAAGGTTTTGTGTCAACTTGACTGGGCCAAGATTCTCAGTAGCTTCAGCAGTTAAGATACAGTAATTTCCTATGATGAGCTCTGCTATGAGCAGTCAATCAACTGAAAGGAAATTTCCTTGAGGTTATGGCCTGTTTCCAATATTTGGGACACTTAGGCAAAGCTTGTTGGCGCTCTGTTCGGTCTAGATCTAGCATCTGGATTGTCCTTGTTGGCGCTCTGTTCAGTCTAGATCTAGCATCTGGATTGTCCTCCAACCTCTGGTTCTTTGGACTTGAGTCAGTGGCCTGATCTATTACCATCTGATACTGGGAATCATCAGCAACCTGCTTTCTTACCTGCTGGATCTGCCTGCCTACCTACCAAACAACCTGCCAATCTTGGTCCATCAACCTTACAGCTACATATGACATATGACCCACAGACTTGGGACTTGCCCACTTGTACAAATGTGTGAGCCATTTCCTTGTTATTCTTACTGTTAAGTGCTAATGAGTCGGTTCCAACTCATAGTGACCATGTATAGGGTTTCCAAGGATCAGCTGGTGAGCTTGAACCACCGACCTTGTGGTTCAAAATGTTGTTGCAGTCCAGCACATTAACCCACAGTGCCACATTAGGACTCCTTCCTTGATATAAACCTCTCTTTATATATACACATATATATAAGCCTCACTCACATTTGGTCCCTCAGCATTCTGCTACCTTTGCTGATTTAGGAGCACCTCAAGACAGGTAGAAGAGGCACAAGAGCAGAGAGGATGAAGACCTTCCCTCTCCTCCTCTTGATCACTAACTAGAGTGTGAGCATCTAAAGTGCAGTCATGGGATCTAAGGGTGATCATATGGTCATGGTCTGGTGAGCACATGAACGCACCGAGATCTAGGAATTTTGAGGGTTGCACAGAGGCACTGGGGCCATCTGAGATCATCTGAGCTATCTGAAGAGTTGTTAAGACCAGGGCAGCACCCTGGGCTGACCCTTGCCTCACCTCACCTCTCTCATTTCCTGCCAATAATGATTCTCTCCAGCCTTCCTGCCTATGATATAGATTAAACCCACATCCTTGCAATAAAGTCCTCTTTTCTTTAAATTAACCACAATATGTTTTGGTTGTTTGCAACCATTAATTCAGTTAACACAACATGAAAGGGAAGAGAACTATCTGAAATCTCAACATAATATAATACTTTGAAATTGGGCATTTTGAGCAAAAATCATCATTACTATCTATCCATGAAGCACGGACCTCCCTTTCCTGGATGTCTGGCAAGAATAACATATGGGATGAAAATTCTGAGGGCCTTGCTTTGGAATCAAGAGCTCTGAGGATCCAAACAAGATGTGAAAGACTAACTTACAGAAGAGCTTCAAATTCTTGAATGGCCTCCAGTAAATTAAGCTATTGTGGCAATTATTTAGTATTGTTGGCCATTTAAATTTTAAACAATTGATAGGCTATTTCTGTCCTCCTGTTTGTTTTTGTACGATTAAAACAGTACTCGAAAAGGTCTTTAGGAGTTAGGAGAAAGAGCTAACCTAACTTTAACTCAAGAAGGAATTGTAGGAGGGAGCATCAAAAAGCTTAAGGGAAAATTCCATTATCTTTTCATTACATTTTTCCATGAACTTTTTTTGTACGTTACAAGCATTACTTTAATTCTCATAATAGCCATATAAAGTATGTACCATTATCACAGGTGAGAAAACAGAGGCTCGAAGACATTAAATAATAACTTGCCCAAGGTCAGGAACTAGAAAGTGGGAACCAAGAATTTGAACACTGGTGTATAACATCAGGACTGAACATTTTTTTACTTCTGTATTGTGAATGGGATAAAAGATTGCAGAACAGACCCTTTTCCCATTTAACATTCATACACATTTTGTTTCATCTCATGTATCCCACCTCCTCCCTGTGTTGCCTAGTTCCTTCCATCCTTCCTAACCCTTCTGAACTTTGTCCTTGGGTAAACGCTGTCCCTTTGATCTTAAATGATTGATTTTTCTAAGGTGTGCATACCTTCCTGGTGACTAATTGTTGTTGTTGTTAAGTGCCATCAACTCAGTTCCGATTCATAATGACCCAGTATAGGGTTTCTGAGGATCGGCTAGTGAGCTTGAACCACCAACCCTGTGGTTCAAACTGCCTTTGCAGTCCAGCACATTAACCCACTGAGCCACAGTAGGGCTCCTATAGTTGCCCTTATATATCTGTTTATTGTCTGGCTAAATATTGAGCTATGGTATGAATTAATTCCAGACCTGAAGGGTAAATAAGGGCCATAATCTTGGGGTTCCACCAGTCTCTATGTGACAAATAAACAGTCCAGTCTTTTTTAAGATTTTGAATTTTGTTCTACATTTTTTTTTTTTTTTGTATTCGGAACTTTCTAATGTTATCTCTTCCATAACAATTGGTAGTGGTAGCTTAGCACCATTTTCTTCATCTTGTCTCAGCACCAAGAACCAATATTTGCATGCCATGAACTGTCTGAAGCTTCCTCATATTAGCCTTCATAAGTGTCCTGTCTCAAAGAAGAATATAGTATCATACAGAGGAGGACTCCTTATTCAGTTTTTGGTTCCATGTGATTTTCTTCCTTTCCTCATGTGTAAATGGCAAAGAAACAGGTTAGTGGCATGCAAACTTTTGCTAGCCACCAAAGCTCTGTCACTTATTTAGGGAGCATGGCCATTTCTGGGGTATCACATAAGTCAAGTGATTTATTTGTGGTTTCATGATTATGGGAAATCTGGGACCTCCCAACGAAGCTTCATTCCAGAGCAGGTGATGGTTAAAAAGAAGCCTCAAAGTTATCGATTGGATCGCATCTCAGAAAAAGTTCAGCTAAAATGCTAATCCCTGACCTGTAAATATCACTCTATTGCAAATAGGACTTTCCACTGTTGTGTTGCTAAAGCAAATGAAGAAATAGGGAGGTACTAGAGCTGAACAGAACATTTCAAAGGTCAGCTCAAGAAGACAAAGTCAAATAATACAACAAAATGTGCAAAGATTTGGAGTTAGAAAATCAAAAGGGAAGAACACACTCAGCATTTCTCAAGCTGAGGGAACTGAAGAAAAAATTCAGGCCTCAACTTTTATTACTTAAGGATTCTCTGGGCAAATTA